TTTCCCCTTCTCGATCTGATTTCCGGAAAAGATGTGACCAGAGAAGTTGAGTCTGGTCTTCTCTTTACCCATAAAATTATCAAACAACTTTGTCTTCTCCACCTACGGCCTTTGGTTCAGTGATTGGCACCCGTTTCTCCAACTGCCATGTAGATAGTCGCATCTTCAGTGATGCTTGATCGGCCAATTGTGGATGACAGAAAACATCAAAGGGTCGAGATATTCATTGCTCAATTGCTAGATTAATTGAAGATTTTATTAGATAATGACATGACTTGTAAAAAAATATGGGTGAATTGGAAACTTTATAGAATTTAAGATGATTCAATGTGAAATTACTGAATTCTAGAACTGTCATTTTTGGCCACCATGGACAGTGGTGACAACAGTTACCGGCAAAGTTTTTTGGTGACCGGAAAACCCCAGAAACTCAGGGTGCTTAGTTGAGCCTGGAGATTTTGAATGTGCAATTAGAATGGCAATTTGACTCTGATTAATGATGGGATTACTCATTGATGCAAATTTGGTAAATAGGCTTCTTTGCCGAAAAACTTTCAGAAACTTAGTTATTTTGATGCTTATCATACCTGGCTAGTCAGAGTTACAAGATAGTTAACGATAAGGAACTAGAAAGAATAGGCTAATTACATAAAATTAGCAAGTCAAAAAACAATTACTAAGTTGAGTTAGTTATGTATTTTATTATCAATTTGATGATTAGCCATGAATGTTAAATATATAAAATATAGTGATCTTTTGATTAAAGAGAACCATTTCATAATTATGCTTGACACTTGTGTTTTAATTATGATTTAGTTATATATTTAGAGAAGTGATTTGGAATTGGTAGTTGCTGGATTTTGTTAAGTTCACATGTGAATGGTGATTTAATTTTTTTAATTAATTAATGAATTCTATGTATATGTTTATGATGTTGGGTAAAGGTATCAATAAGTTGAGATTAGGATATTTAAATTATGGTGACGATGGGTTGCGAGAGTAATTGATGTTGACGCGGGATGGGAAAATAATGATTTGGATTGCTCGATGGATGGGTTTATAGACATATTATTTGATTGATGTGATTTTAACAATTAGTTAAATCTAGTTTATGAGAGGCTCTGCCAAAATTTCGATAAAGTAGTTCATAGAGTTAGAGATTTAACTTAGAGAACTTAAGTATTAATTCAATAAAGTAAAAGCTTTCTTATTTTTTCTTCTCAAATAGATGGTCTAACCTTGCCTTACAATCTGGAGATCGAAAGCTAGAGAAGATTAGTACCACCGCTTTGTAAATGTTGTGAGTAGTATTAGTTAACTTGCATTGCCCATTGCATATGCATGCATGTAAACACGGATAAATATTATGCATCCATACATAATACAGAAGTGTCATCCACGTATAACTGCACTATTTGAGGAATTGTTATTTATGTTGCATTACTTGTTGTTAATGGACTTTGACTGATTAATTGTCGTTATATATGTGTGTGTGCCTTGATTGCGTGGAATTGGAATGAAATTGGGCACCGTTGAATTTATGAGAGTAGTCTATGATACCGTTAGCCATGTATGGAGATATCTATGCCCCTGTGTGTATCTGATAGAATATGATATAGATTTTATAGAGAAACCACAAGGTGAACTTCTATTGGTACGGAAAATAAAAAAAAAAAAAAAAACAAGAGAGAGAGATATGTAAAATAAAGAGCGGGTTATCAAGTGAGGTAGATTCGATCAGACTATGTAGGGATTGCATCCCTGGTGCATGCACGTGATAGGTGTTATTTTTACAGTATTTTTAATATAGTTTTTATTTGGAATTTTAGTAATTTTAATCACTTTAACTAATTTTCACTTCGTTTTATTTATATTTTATTCAAAGCTTCCTTGAATCATAACCCACCTGATCTTACAGAAATTTGCAGGTTTTGGCACAGAAAAGAGCATTATAAAGCAAAACACTCATGCTCTGGCACGCCCAGCCCTAGCACATTAGCACGCCTATGCTAAACTTAAGGAAAATCAAGTAGAGACTCAGACTCTACCACGGCCAACTCGTGCTATCTGGCACGCCCGTGCCTGAAAGGACCTCAGGGCGTGCTTAAGCCATGCATTTTATCCTGGAAAGTCAGAGCTTAGCACGCCCTGGTCATGCTATGGAGCACGCCCGTGCCACAAATACTTCTTTGGACGTGTCGCAGAGCACGCCCGTGCTGAATGATCCATAGAACTTAGACTCTGGCACGCCCCAGCCGTGCAGAACAGCACACTCGTGCTACGAATTTAATGCTGTCTTGAATAAAAAATGCCAGCCAGTCTTTATAACTTACATGGGCCCACCTCAGATATTTTCCTAACGTACAAATCAAGATCTAATCATATTGAGGAAGATGGAAGAGTCCTAATTGAGAAGAAATCCAAGCCTAAATAGTTTGTGATCTCCAAAAAGATTTTGTACTTAATAAGGATTCTATTTCTTAAACAGAGTCGAATTTTCTTCCAGGAGGTCTATATAAAGAGAGGAGCCATTCAGTGTAAAAGGATCTCTTGTTCTATTATTTTCTACATAGCTCTCTCTCTCTCAAAGACTTCAAGCATTCAAGATTTGTGTCAAGATTCAAGGAAGCCATCCACGTATCCGTTGTCTAGTTTTTATTTCTAAACTCTTAACCATCCACGTTATCGTTGTCTAGTTATTTATTTCTTAAAACTCTTAATCTTGTTTTACTTCTTCATTCACTCATATTGATTATTGAAGTTTTAATTTCGAGTGAATTATTTGAGTTTTATTTAATTACTATTGTCGAAGCGTTAAATCCTCATACTAGGGATTTGAGTAGCGTTGAATTTCTTTTCCAATTATAATATTAGATGTTTTTCTTTGTTCAAAATATAATTTATTATTGCACTCTAATTGCTTTCGGAGGAAGAGTTGTTCTCCCCTGGATTTGATTCTTTCATTAATCACTATCGGGTGAGAAGGGTTTTTGAATATGAATAGGGTAATACATTACATTGAGAATAATATTTGATGCGGAAGCTATAATGGTTTGACTCATGAGGGTTTCATAAGTTAATGGACCTTAGGTTATGCATTTTCACAAAACAAACCACAAAACTTAATTTTAAGTTCATGGTTGGATTGCGCTATTGAAGTATAGGCAATTTAGACCGGGCGTAGATATAGCTAACAATACATCGGCGAGAGCTTGTTGGTGATTTTAGAGGTTGTTTCCCCTACTTGAACAATTAAAATGATAACAAACAATAAAATAAATTCGGATAGAGTTAAGTGAAATCAAAATCGCCTAGTAGTTTTTTTAAAATCCTTGTTCTTTTCATCTTAAATTTGTTTGCTTGATTTATTTTCTGTTTTCAATTAAAATTGATTAACAAACTAATAAAATAAATTCGATAGAGTTAAGTGAAATCAAAATCCCTAGTAGTTTTAAAATCCTTGATTTCTTTTCATCTTAATATTGTTGCTTGATTTATTTCTGTTTTCTTTTAAGAACTTATTTTTCTTACAATAAATCTCTCTTATTTCCGTTTAAATAATAATAGGTTAACACAATTTTGGTACTTGATATACAATCCCTAAGGAGACGATACTCTACTTACTTTATATCACTTGCTACGATTTCATATACTTGCGAAAAATCACTGTCAGGGCACGTGTGAGAACGCTTGTTGGGAGTTCTGGTGATGCCACTGATCAGTTTCTACTTGATGTGATTATGTAAATGTGTTAATATTTATGATTGCTATTATTTTGTCATTTGTGTGATCGACTACATGATCATATAATTTATCGAATGACTATATTGATTTTATACATGCATTTATGTGATTCTGAGTTTAGGCGCTCATCCTTGCCTTAATTTTTTTTTTTTCTCAAGCTATAGGTTTTCCAATAATTTGTTACCTTTGTCACCAGACATCTAGAAGAAACCCTGATAATTCCCCTGAAATTTTTAATTCTTAGATTGTTCCGCAATTACAGTAATCATGTATAATAAATTTAGAAATTATTGATGTATTACTTGTCAAAATTTCTATTATATAATATATTGATATAGGCTCAAAGAACTCTGATTGGATATGATAATACGGGCAATGTGAGCCCAAGACTTATGATATTTGAATGTTGATGATATTAGGCATGAGGCCGTTTTTATCGAACATGAAATTTGTTTAGTATGTATTTGACTTATTACGAGCTTTAAGGCTATTCAGATCCTAGTGTCAGTCCACCCAAAGTAACAAGTTTGACAAATGGATTCTTCAAGGGTTTAATGCTCCATCATATGGATGAAATGGGCAGGAGAGAGAGAGGGTGTGATCTTTTGTGGAAGGAGAGAGAGCACATGAGAGAGAGAAAAGGGAAAAGTAAGTTTTTATTATGCAAATTTTTAATCTATTTATCAACTGATAAAATAATGTCACGTCAGTATTTAACTTACTTTTAATTAAAAAATTGACTAATTGACTTTTTTATTACCCTAATAGTAATTCCTATATTTTTAAATGATAAATTAAAGCATATAGACAATTAAGCAATACCCTCTATAATTTGAGAACCACTAGTGAAAATAAGCCTTTAAGCAAAAATTCGCATTTAACATGGGTCCTTTACATGAATAGCTAGAAGCCTCCAATGCAATGTCTTTCGTCAACGTTTTTCCTTTTGTTTCCCCTTTTTTTTTTTTTTTGGGTTAAAACTTAAAAGTCGATAGCCATCGTCAACCACCAAAGAACAAATTGACCGGGACGGCAATCATTCAAGGATTAGTTTGATAAGGGCCTTCTGCCCTTCTCTCCATCTATCTTAAAAATTAAACAGAAAGAAATAAAAGAAAAGGAGATGGTTCCTTCTTTATAGACTGTTGTGGAAATTAAATTAGCAAAGAGTAATTAAAATCTCAAATTGAAAAAAACAATTGAGGAAAAAGAATTGAAAAGAGAAGACGACAAACCACCTATATAGTATAGTAAAACTAAGAATGTTGAAGTGAGCAGCTTTTTCTTGCATTCATGACCTTTCCTGTTCCTTTGCTAGATAAGAATTCAACAACTAACTCCCTGCACCGAACCTTGAAGAATCTCTTCTTGCTAGGCCATGCTCCTACTTGGTATGTACTTCTCACTGGCATTTCCACATTGAAATTCACAATCTTTTTGCTCCAATCATCACTTAGATCCTTGAACACATCTCCAACCGGCCGAACCGACTCCATGTCCAACACAACCTTCATCTTCCTCTGACTCATCTTCGGAACAAAAATCATAATTTCTTCCAAATCTTTCTCTGAGACAATGGCTTTTCCGTAAAGAACAGCAACGTTGACCTGGTCAATGGCAAGGTTTGCCTTGTCGTTTGTGTTATTCACATCAAATTCCATCTCATAATATGCAGCAAATCGTGAATCAGACAGCGTGATGTTGGATATGGACAAGGAGTGGAGCCCAAAACTGGGATCCTGCGGATCAATGACAAGCCATGCGATGGCGCAGACAAAGCTTAATATGAGAAATAACATAATCAGTACAAGCATCAAACGGGGAACACAATCATCTAAACTGCGTAATCGATAGTTAGACCTAGGTCCATCAGCTTCAGAATTATTTATTTGCAGAGTTTGGGGTTGAGGCTGTGGTCCAAAAGTATAAGAACTGGAATTTGGAAGGTTATTAAGATGATCCATGAGAAGTAACTGAAACCTGTCAGTTTGGCTTGCTTCTCGTCTTTCAAGCATTTGTCTAATATAATTGAGACGGCAGCCCCTTAAGTACACCTATTCGTTAGACAAGGAAATTTCCCAGCTGCAACAATTCCAATTCCAAAGCATTCGTCCATGGGAAGCTTCCCAACGAAATGCAGCCACGTCAGTCAGAGCAAATTCTATTCAAAATTGTCAATCAAAGAAAAGAGAATGAAAGGAAACATAAGAAGACAGAAGCTTCAAGTAAAACTAAACACGCGCGTTGACATGCACACTTCAAATTGAAAAAATCGGAATAAACTGGCCTAACCGCGTCTATTCATGTTTTGACTCTAGCCTTGACACTGACACAGCAGGTAGTTTCAAGTTCCCGGTTTATTTCTTCTTTTCTTTTTTCTTTTTTTTTAATTCTTTGGAATTTGTATAACTTCATCATTACATTGGAAATCTGCTCTATTTGTTTGCAGGTCATCGGAATTTTATTTCTACCTTACTACAAGCTTTAATTATCACCATTCACCAGTGCCATTGTACTCCAAATGGGTCCACAAGCCTTGCGTTCATTTTCCAAATACCAAAAATGTAAAAACATAAGGCCAAAAGGGCAGGAATCTCGGAAAACATAGCTTGACGACGCCTAAAGTGCTCATGTTATCATTATGAACATATAAAACAAACCATGAAAGCCTAAAAAAAAATGCATACCCAGTTGATCATATCTCATAATATGTAAACTATATGCAATTGGAAGGAGCTAGGCAACAGCGCATGAAAATGTCGCCCAAAAGCAAAAGTTTACATTTTCTAAGTGTGATCATATCTCATAATAGTAAGATAAAGCAGCCACAAAGCTTTACAACATGAGGTACATTAGCTAATACAAACAAACCCAGTCGAGTTTGATGTCACTACACCATTCCTTTGAACCCTACCATTTCCTTTTGCGAAATGACAAACCTCCACCAAATTGAAAAACAGCAAAAAATAAACAGATACAATCCTCCTAAACAATAATCAACAACACCTTTATTGTGAAATATGATTTAAGTACAAAACTGAAGTCCTTAACCACAACCAGGCAGAGGGAAATTGATTAGAGTGACAAAAAGTCATAAGCATTCAAATGCAGAAGCATCAAATTAAGCCCCTTCAGAACAAGCTACGTGTCATGTTCTTTGTCATTGTAACCTCTAACTGTTAATTAATTATTCAAGAAAACAAGATGAATCCTATAGTATATAAAACTTCTCATTTCTCTTGTAATCAAAATTTTTATGTTTTACTATCCTCAGCAAAGCATATTTGTACTTACACAGTTAAAATTGTTTCATTTAGCTCTCTAACAATGTGAATGAAATACTTTTTTTTTTACCTTCTATGTCAAACCTTCATAAATATATAGTTTTTACATTATAAATGTAATATTTCAAAGAGATATATATATCTAATGACGCAACTAAAAAGTGTTGAAAATATAAAAAAAATTAAATCAATTTCTCTTGTTACAGTATAACGATTCATTTGTTACATTCATAGTGTATCGATAGTGTCCTTGAAAAGTTAAAATCAGACCATCATATGTAAATATTTTCAACACTACACCATTTAAGTAATTCTTTTTCTTTTTTCATAACATTTTTTGTAAATTTGCCCAAAAGTCGTAAGCATAAGCAATGAAACGCAAAGCATCAATTAAGCTACCTTCAGAACAAGCTGTGTCATGTTCTTCGTCCTTGTAACTTCTAGCTGTTAATTATTCAAGAAGATGACAAGAATTCTATAGTAGTTATCTATTTGTTGTCACAGCTAATCCATGCAGTTATGCTGTCATTAGGAGTTAATCGCTTATTATTTCATGAGCGAAAGAATAATAATGCCTTAATATTTAATAATGGTTGCACCCAACCACACGAATTCAACAATTTGAACAGCATATCAATACATTTGGCTATGAAAATAATTCCGTATGGTCACTATTTACAAAAAAAAAAAAAAAAAAAAAAAAAAAAAAGTGCACGAGAAAAAAAAAAAAAAAAAAAAAAAAAAAGTGCACGAGAAAAAATTACAAAATGGGGCCAGAAAAAAAAATTAAAAGAAAACAACAAGAAGGCCTGTTTTTTTTCATGTTAAGAATCCAATGGCACCTGAATGTGGAAAAATAAATTAAAAAAAAAAAAAAGCTAAAATTGCTAGAGAGAGATTCATGCACATATATCAAGAGCTTGCTTACCATGGATATCGTAATTCATGAACTCCGTCCACTGTCCTCAATCATCATTCCTTTGAGACTCTTTGCTAACCAGATAGCAGTCTCCCTTGGGGAGACTTTATCTTTCCCAAAAGGTTTCAAAACCACTGCAAGCTCTTCCAATCTGTTTTGCTCCAGTAACTCAGCAGACAATTCTAGAAGCCCTTCAAGTGCCTCTGCCCTCTGCCTAAAAGACTTAACATCTAAAGTTTCCTTTGCAGGTGCTCCCTCTTCTGTAATGAGGGAGTTGGGTTTTGTTGGCTCAGAAATATCTGATTTCGGAGCTGGACGAATTGCACTTGTCAAATCCATTTCTTTTGGACCAGAATGATCCGAGACATTTGATTTCACATTCATAGCTTCAGGATAACTTGATGATTTAAGAGTCAAAGGTGCAGTCACATTTCTTACCTCCAATTCATCTCTTACAACATTCAAGAGCTTCCCAAATTCCACATTTTGAACCCCCATCTCCACAGTTTCCATTACTGGTTGCTCACTCCCAACACGGAAACTACTGTGCCGTATAACATGTATGACATCGTCAAAAACTGGAGGGAAATGAGTAGAAGTTGGCTTCTCAATTGCTGGGTTTTGAAAGTGCGTTCCTTTCTCTGGATGACAATCCTTTTGGCTGGTTGATATCTCTGAAGCAGCGGAATTGTTTTCTGGAACTGATGATAGCAGTTCTCTAACAGTGAATTTGTCATCACCACTACATGAAGATGTAAGATTTGAATGAACAACACTATCAGGCCTCGTTACAAGTGCATCATCTTTACAAATAGGTACTTCTTCAGAAATTGGGACTGATAGATCTGAAGCTGCACTTGAACTCACTTTTCTATCATCAATAGTAGTATTATTCTGAGGATATGGGACCACCTCAGAGGTTTCGGCTGAGCAAACTACAGATGTATGACCAGATCCATAATTTACCTCCAACAAATTTTCAGATGACTTGGAATGGGCAAAGGATGGAACCGAGCAGCTGGGTGGCTGTAATTCTATGTTGTTACTGATGGTAACTATCTCATTATTAGGAAGTGTCTGTTCTGTCATGTCAACAGATGGAGTTGTTGAATTATCACAAAGTTCAAATGCATGAACTGACACTGAAGATGAAACAGAGTTATTACTATCTGCTCGCATTCCTGTGGAAGCTCCTACTACAGCTTTCTGAGACTCTTCTCTGACCTCATTTGAGAAGCGTATGACCTGGTCATCAGGCAATTGATAATGTGTATTTTCAGGCTCTTGGGTTGTTCCAGTTGGACTCAACTTTACAGTGTTGCTGATGGCATTTGGAATATCAGTTCCCACTTGCCTTGTCCGTCCTGTAAATGAACATCGCCTAACCATATTGGTAGGAGGAGTTCTTTGTCTTGACTTTACAGCAATTCCATCATCAACATGCTTTAATGGACCAGATGGTGGAACACCATCATGTCTTGGTTTAGTCTTTGTTGTATTGTCAATTATCAGTAACTGCAAAGTTATACTTGCAATATAAGTGAAGGTGTATTTGTATAAAACTAAGAGAAAACAGTTATGGTTTCTGATTATACCTGGTGCTTCAAAGGAGGTGATCCCTGAATTCGTTTCATGGAATCAAAAGCTACCTTCGCTGGAGCAAGAGCAGGAGTATCTGCATTAGACTTCAAACCAGGAGTAAGGGCATTGGGTTTGAGAACTTTTGGAGATGCTTCAATGTTACTTCTTTGAGAACCTCCAGCCTTTATTCGGTTCCCTCTCATTGGGGAACCATTTTCTCTAGCTTTCCCTTCTTTTAAGGCCATCATAATGGTTTTAATTGTCTTTGGTTGCTTTGATTCAACAGTGGATCCAAGTTCATCAGGATAAGGTTTCACCACCCTTTGTTGATCTATTTTAAAAATAGCAGGGCCATTTTCTTCACCTGGCACGCGTCGTTCATTGCCATCTTCATCATCCACTGAAGTTAAATCTGTATCAGTGGCTTTATGCTCACAATTTGAGACCATTGCTGGAACATTTCTATCACTTGAAAGCAAACTATCTTTGTCACTACTAGAGCTATTACTGTTCTGGCTTTCATCCATACTTCTCCGAGAATCACGGGTGGTAGAAATGGACTTCTCAGGGGAAAAGGTTGCTGGGGGAGTGAAGGATGGGCGATATTGATCAACAAAAGGTTGCAAGTAAGGATGCTTCAAAATCTCAGATGCCTAATCAAAGAAATCAAGATTGTTAATACAAATTCCTTCCTGCAAGGATTCATAATATTGAGATTGACATAGGTAAGATGTTTACACTAGGCCGATGCTCTGGGTTCTTTCTCAGCATTCCTTTTATCAATGTTTTCCTGCACATAAAAAAATTTACTATCATTGATTTTCAGCAACCAAAAAGTTGATCATTATCAGGAAGCCCCACAATAGCAATAAAGAACCTAATTAATCTTGTAGCTATTCTATTTCCTTGAGATACCACAGGTAGGTTAACAGACTCAAATGATTTCCACTTTATCATGTAAGCATCATTTGGATTTCCCTACCCAGATTAGGTTGATTTGATTGGTTAACAAGCCACAAGCGAAAGTAGCCAAAGAAATGCAAAAGTAAGTAACTTAAGCCATTTTTCCAATATAAATTGGTTGATGGGGCAACTAATAGGAAAATACTACTCATTTTCCGAAGCAGTCCAGTCACGGATCCACGTTTATATCTAACAACTGAAAATGCAAAAAATAAGGAAATGTAACTGTTGTTCGAGGAGACACCAAGGCAATCAAATATAATCTGACTGAATATATTATGCCAATAATTAAAAATAGAAATCAGTATCAAGTCCCATAGTTGCAGCAACAAACTCCGCCTACATGAGCACAGTGAAGGATAGCCGGTCCCAGCCTGGGCAAAGGAAGAGGGTTTCGGTTGGCTCCTCAAACCTCAATATGAATCCTTTGAATATTGAGCATACAATTGGGACTTTCCCACCTAAGCACACGTTCCATGGACACCCAAGAATAGTATTATCACATCATTGTGTAGGTGTAAGGGAGGTGTGGGAAAGAAGTAAGTCCCAACACATCAGCATCCGGATGCAGTGTTAGATAGGAAAGGGTTCACACATCTTCGTGGACAGACACCAGTAAAGAAGCTAGTCCAAGAGACTCAGTTTCATTGTTTCGAAATATCTACTGTTTCTATATATTGACAGAAGATGTAGCTACAAATAGAGGAGAATGGAAATGAAGGATTCATATAGCCGACCCCAACTAGTTTGGTATTAAGGTTTTGTTGTTGTTATTAAATAGTTTCAGCAACCAATGCCACAGAAGCTTTTGAATCAAGCATACACTATATGACATATAAATTATAGTTTCGTTGTCAATAAAAGGGCGATAACAAGCAATTTCCCAGTGACCTCCTAGATAAAAGATCAAGAAAAATAATATAATCCACAGTGTTATGTATTATAAAAAATATGAGACAATAGTGAATGCAGACTTACAAGGCTGGAGAATAACAGGACGGCAAAGGGCCTATGGAGGAACGATTTATCTTGCTAATCAAACCTGCCATGTCCTGCAAGATACCTGGCAGCAATTAGTAACTGAAGGAAAGTTGCAACTCATGTGATTAGACATAAATAAAGTTAATCAGGTACAGAAACCCTTTATTAGAAGCTTGACATTAAGTTCTTCATCATGAATACTTCCAAAGTGAAATCTAAAAAATCTGAATGCAATGTAAAGGTCTAGTTTGTAATCTAAAGCAATTTCTAAATGTAATATTTATGCATTGACTGCAGTATACACATGCATTGTTACAATATTTATTACATATATAAACGTACAGATGTGGGGAAACATATGAACTTGTATTTACAAACTAATAAATCTTTTTAATAGTTAAATTTGTTTACAATACTATAATTAAATTTATTTCCTAATTCTAGCTATGTTCATAACATAAAAAAAAAAAAAAAAAAAAAAAAAATCTAAGCTATGTTATAAACATTTAAAAAAAAAAAAAAAAAAAAAAAAATGCTTCCTATATTTTTTTTATTTTTTCCATTTAATTTCCATTGACTTTCTTCATTAATGTCAACTACTTCTTAGTTAAATATTAAAAAAAAAAAAAAAAAAAAAAAAAAAATGCTTCCTATATTTTTTTTTATTTTTTCCATTTAATTTCATTGACTTCTTCATTAATGTCAACTACTTCTTATTAATATATTCTTAATTCTTCTTATTTAATCTTATCGAATGCCTACAAGTACAGTACTTTACATATTTTCAATATTATATATGTACAGTACTTTACATATTTTCAATATTATATATGTACAGAAGCCAAGTCTGTTCAGTGAAAATATTAAGTGTATACAACTTTTTTCTTATACTATATGTTCCTTATATTACACATAAAAGTTAATTTTATTTATTATTTATGCACACAAATATATGTATAAAGCAAGTGTTTTATGTTTACTTGGTGTCAATTAACTTCACAAGTTTTTTTTATTTTTATTGAAATTATGCTACCAAAACTTTTTCATATTTAGATTACTTGTGCCAAAATAAATTTTTTTAGTATTTTAAAAGTTTTCATTTCAATAATAGTAAAGTTATATTTTAATTTTACAAAAAAAAAAAAAGAAAAAAATTATATCTTTAGTAATTCAATCCAAATATAACACACACACGTGCTAAAAAACTAGTATGATATAAAGAAGTCCATGATTGAGAATTAACATGTTATCATGATAAACTAGTCCTTGAAATGAAAGGCAGGCAAATTTCATTAATAGACTATCATGATGATCGAGAATATTTTAAAATTTCAAGCAAATATCAAATTTCACGACCACTTAAACATACTAATGTTATGCGGTGCAGTCTGTTGCATTGCATGTAAATATAGAATAAAACAAAAGGTACGCTAACGATAAAAAGTCAAAAGAAATCAATGTCTCCAGTTCTTAATACCACCATTAAGAGTTGGTGGCTGTTCTACACACCCAGAGATATACTGTGACATCATTGGGGAAAGAAGCAGAACTTAGACTCATTTCACAAAATTCAAAAGATATTATATCAGGAAGTTTTAGCATAGGAAATCTTACAAAAGCTTTGAAAGCAGGGCGATGAGCAGCCATCTCATACATACAGCATCCTGATCAACAATGAACCATTTTAGCCCAAAACAAAAACGAGGTAGAAACAATCTCTACATAGATAATCTAGAGGGAACATACCCAAAGACCAAATGTCGGATTTGAAACCATAAGGAATATCTGCAAGGAGTTCAGGACACATATAATTGGGAGTTCCAACAACCTGCAAATACAAGTGAAAAACAACTACTAGTTTCATACTGGTGAGAGTGAGAACATAAATTATGATCTCTTAGTTTATAGAATTATTATACCACTCATTGATTCTCTTATTTTCAAGGCTTAATAACTTCATAAAGAATGAACTGCATGTCCTGAGATAAATTTTATAACTTGCAAGTAAGTGGTTCAGAAATGCGGTTTGACTCTGACCACAAATAATAACATGAATGAAACATTTGATATGACCTTTCTTTCTTTAGCTAGAGTCATATCATTATAAATGAAATAAGCCTCCAAAGACTACAATATGCCATGATTTCATTGCAATATAAGTGATTTTACTTGAATAGATATAGTAAATCTTAAAAGAACTTGTCTTTGATTACAGGGACATCAAGTGCAAACCTTCCCAAAGAAAAAAAAAAAAAATTATCACGCATATATATACTTAATAATATTATTACGTTTCTTATAATCTATGTAGTCTTAATTGTAAGGATTTCATCTTTATGCAATGAGTCTTGGATGCAAAAATAGACAGTTCCACATGCTCCTACTTCCTATAGTTCCAACAACTTATTACCAAACCCAAAAAGAAAAAAAAAGGGGAGGAAAAAACAGATCTCAAAGGAGAAAATAGGAAACTCAGCACAACCACTTCCTTTTCTCTATGCAATAGGCAAATGACAATAACAAAAATCCAGAACAAAAGTCAACCCAAAAAGAAAGGAACATACTGAGGAAGCCAAGTCATCCGCTTTCAGGGTTTTAGCAAGTCCAAAATCCCCTAAATATGACAAAGAAAAATATACAAATAAATACAGCAATGGGAGTACATTGAAATCATAACTAACTTTAAATAATAAAAGGAACTCACCAAGGCGAACATCCTGATCTTTGGTGAGAAAGATGTTCGAACACTGCAAAAGAGCACTTAAATTATTCAGTCATAATATTCAAATCTAACAGATGAAATTCAAATGAGTAGCTCAGATACTTAATCACATACCTTTAAGTCCCGGTGCAGAACAAAATTCGCATGCAGATATTCAACAGCTAAGAGTAGTTGTGTAAACCACTTGCATAGTTTCTGAACAAATTTTTAACAATGTCAACCAAGATAAGTCAATATTTGAGCATAAAAAGGAGGAGAAAATAGAAAGAGAAAGCAATTCAGATTACCTCTTCAGGAAAATATACACCATTTGATTTTTTCATTAATTCAGCCCTGTCAGCAATATCGTAAAGAACAATGTGAATTAATTCTGCAAGTCACCCAAATCTACAGATCAAATTTCTAAAAGTTGTTGGAAACTCACATGTCTCCACCTTCACAGTATCCAGTGACAATGCAAACATAGCAACCCTAAATTTACAAGATAAGAATCCTGTCATTCAGTTTCTACAAAATCAAAATACACAAAAGCAGCAGCCAAAATCCAATTGGTAAAACTTTGCTTTCCAACAATATTTTCATACAGTACCTTCTCAACCCATGCTTCTTTGAATTCCACAATATAAGGGTGCTGAATTCGTGCAATGAGAGCCATCTACATTACACCAATATGCAACATATCCATTAAATACAGCAGCATTAAGACGAAGGCTAAATAATTGGAAAAGGAATATAGCGGAGTAAATACGAAAGCAGCCAAGAGACTTACTTCTTGATGAGCAGATCTCCTGCATCGCTCAGTTTGTCGTGCTAGGCGGATCTTCTTCAAAACATACCTAACAATTGAAAAACAAAATGTTGTAAAAACAATTTGTACGAGAACTTGATTTACTTGTTTGTATATAATAACAGAGAGAGAGGTACTTCTTCTTCTCGGATTTGTGGTGGACGAGAATGGCAGCGCCAAAGGCACCGCGGCCGATCTGCTCCATGATCTCATATTGATCCATACGGGACTCCATTAATCTCTCTTTCTTCAATCAATTAATAGAAATCTCAATGCTTTCAACAAGTAATCCTGAAACGATCACTGTCTAAACAATTGAAATCCAAAAACTATTTCTCACATTGCAACATTTTGATTCTCCACCGACTCCTCATAGATCCACCAACTGAAAGACTACAACAGGCTCATTTCACCAGCAATGGCGTCAAGTTGAGATGCATTTTCTCGAAATCGAACCATTTGATTCCTTCCTTGTACAGTCAATAAAGCGAGAGAGAAATCCGTGATTCACTTCTTTTGGAGGAAGTTGTTTGCGTTTCAATGTAGTTTCTAGCTTTTTGTCCCTCTTTCTCACTCTCTAAGTCTGTAATTAAAGAAAAGAAAAGACGACCTTTTCATCACTCCATATTTATGTATAGTTGGTATTTTAGTAACTAGAGAATACGGTTACTTTCTTTACTGGTTAATCCAGGCGTCAAAGATTCAATGCAAAGAGTAAAGTCAAGTGGTGATCCCTCTCTCTCTCTCTCTCTCACACACACACCTGGAGTACAAGCCAGAGGACATATGGGGATGCTTGATTCTACGCCGACACCAACAGCTGGCCTCTATACAAGCCTCCTGGTACCTTTTTTTTATGTCAAGACAACAAACACACATGAGCCTGAGCAAGGCACGAGACAAGCGCAAAAAAACAATCTTGTTAATGCATGTTAATCCCACAAACGCTCACTTTAGAACCGAATAACCAAATTAGAATCAGATTGAAAGATTAAAAAAAAAAGGAATATCGGTTATTTCGAATTCGATCAAATTCAACTTTCAACTTGATAAAACTAAAAATCAAATCACTTTTTTTTTGTTTTCTAAAGTGAACTTAAACCAAATTGTATGTTTGTTTCAAATCAATTCAATTTAATTTTTTTTTATTTTTATAGAATTTGAACTTATTCTCTAAATTGAATCAAAAACTAAACTAAGATCATTTAAATCATAAGTCAAATAAAATTAGTTGACTTGAATAACAAATAAGAAAAACTAAACTAAATCAACTCAATTCAATTTTTTGGATCATAATTGCAACACATAGATAGGGGTGTGAAAAACTAGGGATTGCAACAAGTCGAGTACCTGCTTAAATGCACTATTCGAACTCGATCCCGATTCTAAATTAAGTATCCAAATCCATTTAGAAATTCATCTTTAATAACTAAAAAAATATGTCTCAAACCCAATTATAATTATCCATTTAAATACCCGAACTCGTTTAAGTATTCGTTTAGCATTAAAAATATTTTTTATTTTCATTTTTCAAAAATAACAAGTAAAAATTATAAAATTGTTATTTTGACTTAATAAAAAATGTAATATAAATATTAAATATAATTATAGCATTAATTATAATTAAAATTGTACATATTTCTTTAAAAAAATAATTATTTTAATTTTTTTTTGAATATTTATTAAATGTGAAACAGGTAGTAGGTAGCCAAGTTCTTAAAATCGAACAAAATATGGGCAATAAAAGTATTACCTGAACCCTTTACAAACTTGCTTATTCACTATCCGAACCCACTAAAATCGGATTAGATCGGATAACCGCCGGGTCGTGTAGTGCCATCGCTATGCAAAACTACTGATCGAATCAAATCGATTAATTTCGATTCAGTCAACTTGCTTAAAGAAAGTTCATCAGTTTGTCATGTGGATTGAAATCTCTGTTGGTTCATGTCAATTTTATGGAATTTAATTCATTAGACTTAAAATTGAATCGATTTGTTAAAAAATAATGAATCAACTAAACCGAGTTGGTTTAGTTTGAGCTGATTCAATTCAGGTAGGTTCAATTTGGCCTTATTTCTAAAAAATTAGTTTATATTTTCCCTTCTTGGTTCAGTTTGGTTTGAACCAAACCCACCATTTGCTTACCCTACATCTGAGTTTCTTGTAGTTGATAACTTGACTAAATGTATAAATATAATCCAGTACTTCACAAAAAACATCCCTGTGGTGTGCAAGTTCCTTTGGTTTGACTTATTGAACATTTCACCTTATAAAATTAGACATATTAAAAAATTCATTTACAAAGTTTTTTTAATGGACATTTCAATTTGTAAAATTTGATCAATTAAACTTATTGAATAGTTGAAACATGTGAAAATTATTATTTCTAAAATTATGATAACAAAACCAAGTCAATATTTTTGGATATAAAAATTAAAAATACTAAAAAATTATTGTTAATAGTATGGAGACGTGCATGATGTTATCTAAGGCTTTTACTTGAGTAGAGAATCCACTAATTCTCTATTGATACATAAGTCCATTTTTATGACATGTGTTACACACCTGTATAACAGGTTACAATGACTTTTTTTTGTGTTTTGTTTCTTTTTTAAATTTATAAAGATATATTAACTAGAAAACATAGTTTTCAATTTACATAAATTAAGGTTTATGAAATTCATAGTGTATAGACTTCTTAGATAATTTAAATTCTTAGTCAATTAATGCTAAAATTATAAATTTTTTTATATATACATAAAGTAATATTTTATTTATGAAAATTATAAAAAGAATTAGCATACGAATAAGGTTTCAAGTTAAATTTTAAAATCTTGTTCGTAATTAGACATTTTAAATTAAATAAAAATTAAAATGAATATTTCATGAATAAATGTATAATATGGATTTTTTAAGAAAAATATAGATGAATTTAAAATAAAAAAATAAAATTAACTAAACTATAACAAAATATTATTTATATTCCTTTATTTTATAGTTACACATTGTAAATTAATAAAGATTAACAAAATTTTGACTGTAATAATTGTAAAAAATCAATTTAGCAAAAAAAAAAAAAAAAAAAAAATTATTTAGATTCTGTTATTTTATAAGTTACACATTGTAAATTAATAAAGATTAACAAAATTTTGACTTGTAATAATTGATACAATAAATCAAATCAATTTAGCAAAACAAAAACAAAAAAAAAAAAGTCCGTCAGAAAATTCTTAATAGAGTAATAGACATTTCTGTTTTTTTAAACTTGATTAACTGCTATAATATATTTTAAAAAAAAAAAAAAAAAAAAAAAAGATCGTCATAAAATTCTTAATAGTAATGAAATTTGTTTTTTACTTGATTAACTGCTATATATTTTTAACTCAAATAGACGTGACATTACTAGGCATATTAAAATATGTGACATAAAATTTGATTATATTAGATGGGTCAATAAATTTAATATTAGATAATTTTTTTTATTTTTCTATAATTATGATGGAAACAGTATTTTATATTCAAATTAAAAGAATTACATTAAATAGCTTATTTGTAACTTACTTTATAGGATACAAGTCACTTAGTAAATTTTCAATCTAATGATTCACATTTAAGTGTTTTAAATCTGACGGTGAAAAGAAAATTCTGTATCAATATAGAAATTTTGAATTGTGTATCATAATCTTACCCGTTATCTAAATTTAGAATTTTAAGAGTACAATAGGTCCCTCAAAATTGAGGGAGCCACAAATTTTTTTTTTTTTTTTAAATATAGAGGTATATTTATGCATTTAGCCCTTAAGAACTTATTTTTCAAACTTTTTTATTTTGAACTTAGAGGAGATTTTTGGTGCTTAATAAGTTAATTACTCCCTCATCCTATATAAATAGGTCTAGTTTAATTTTAATATAAATTAAGAAAATAAAATTAATATATTTAAATTATAAATTTTGTTTAGTTCTTTATAATATACTTCTTAATATCTTAATCAAGAAATATGAAAGTCATATATTTAATTATTTGTTTATTTCTATATTTAATTGATTCATAGTAACAGTAGTATCCCCACCCCTGGATAAAAAAAAAAAAGAAGCTTAATTTGGCTTTTCCATAAATTAAAAATATATATATAATTAATATGGTTATAAGATAATTTTTGTTTAAATTTTCCTAATAGATATTAATAATTCTTTCCCGAATTGATTAGTAATATGAAAGTCTTATGTTTTAATTAGTTATCTATTTTTAACATTTGACTAACAGTAATAATGATATATCTATATATATTTTAGTATTTGTTAACCTGCGTTGCACATTATTTATATTCATTGATACTCGCTGTAATTACTCGTTACATTTACTATTTTAAAACATATAAATAAATGCATTAAAATATAACGTTTAATTGTATAATGAATTTCTAAATAAGAATTAATAGATAAAAATTAATTTCATCTAAAATAACACATAAAATTTATTTAAGCGATTAAGAGTAAAATAATTAATTAAAATCTCTAAAAATAAAAGAGAATGATAAAGCAAAAAGTTTTTATTAATCGAACTCTATTAACAAATATAGTAAATCAATATATATAATAGTCAAGAAAGGGAGAAAAATGAATTCAATTACAATAATTAATAAATATTATATGCTTACATGCGTTTTACATAATCCTCATTGTTGCCTAAGAACATAGTATATGCTTTGACGTGAGAGCTTATGCATTCCATCCTTGTATTAGAAGAAATCCTTTTTTTTCTCTTTAGGCTGAAAAGAGTTTACAAAAATTAGTCTAAATTCATTAAACAAATTATTTATATTAATTTAAAGAAATAGACTCGTTGTAGAAGTAGCAATCAAGGTTTTTAATTTTTTTCTAGGGTTTATTTCTGTGAATACTCAAATTTTGAGGCTCAAAAAGCCTATTTTCCCGGACTGCAAACAGTCCGGCCGGACCGGAGGCCGTTCGGAAAAGTTCTCTAGGGTTTTTATTTCTGTGAATCAAGTTTTGAGGCTCCAAAAAGCTATTTTCCCCGGACTGCAAAATCCCAGTCCGGACCGGACCGGAGGCCGTTCCGGGAAGAGTTCACCAAAAGTATGCAATATCCAATATGGTACTTGAAACGTCCGGAAAATTGCGAGGATCACAGAACTGGTCCCGGAATATTTTTTGGAGGTACAGAACTCCCGAAAAAGCCATTGGAACGACAGATTAGCAAGCCTGCCGGCCACGGCGGCGGCGGCCACCCTCCAGCCCGAATTTTCCCTATAAAAACAGCCCCAGTTCACCTTTTTTACGCACTCAGTCTATGTTGACGAACGCTCTCTTCTCCCCTATGCTCCTTGCGGTTCTTTTACTGCTTTTTCTGCATTTAGTGTAGGTTTTTATTCTGCTGTTGTGATACTTGGTCATGTGATATTTGGCCACTTAAATTAAATTAATTCTAATTAATATTCCCCAAACGAGGAGCTAGGAGTGCTTTAATCCGGAGTTTTCAAGCTGAAGCTAAGAAGCGGCCGCCGATTAACTCAAGGTAAATAAACGAAAACTCTGCTTCATTTAAACTTTAGGCATTTCATTGCATATTCTTCATTCTACTCTAATTTCTGAATTAAACTTGTTGCATCAATGCATTCACGTCATCAATTTGGCAAATAAAACTGTCTTAATTAAAATATGATTAAGTTTAAATGCCTGGTTAATTTAATAATTGTGGTATTAAGTCTAAATCCGCAATTATTGGCCTGCTAAGTATCTGGTCCAATTAATGACTTTATGATATAATCCCCTTTAT